TGTAGACAAAACTGAGGAAGAAAGGGCAAGGTACAGAAAACTTGCAAGAAGAGAAGAAAAGACTTTACAAAGCTCATTTTGACAGCTTCAAGAGACCTTTGACATCTTAATAAGCAAGTTCTGTAACTAGTACAAACCGAGGAAGAAAAGATCTTATCATAGCTTAGTCACTTGCAGCTTTGGGTAGACAAAAGATGTCAACTATAAAAAAAAACTTTTAGGTGTTTCATTCTTATCAGCCACTAATGCTGGTGGGCGGAAGGCCCTCTTCAACCTCTTTTCAGGGATCGTGGGAATGGGTGGGTGGTAGTTCGGGTGAGAAAGATGAGACAGACCAAATGAAGACAGAAGAGAATGAAAGATTATCCGTGGAATATTACTGCCCCAGCATTTGACTTCCAAATGCTAAGCAATGGTCTAACTTCTAGGCCATACCACTCGGCCTAAAAGTAATGAATTCTTTTAGGTATCTATACTTCCGGCTGTAGTAAAGACTCTATATAAGTCTTGATTAACATCATATTAATTACCAATCAACAAATCTTCTACTCAACGCATTCGAACACAAATAAGAAAGGATATAGCGGAATCCATGGAGACTTTTGGACAAATATTAAGCTAAAGCTGCTTCAAACGCGTTTTAGGATTGAAGTATCAGCGATGAGATGCAATGTGCTGTGATGTGACAGTCAATAATTCAGGTCGCTTGAATTAACGGATATGTTTTTTTGAACAAACATTAGAGGATTCCTACTCTTTGTTTGCCGCCATTGAAAAAGTTTACAAGCAACTGGAAGAATGTTAATCTAATAAATACTTTCTCATTTCTCTATGATGTCGAGGCTTGGACGTTGTCTGAAGCAATAGACAAAAGAATGCAAAGTTTTCAAATGTGCCACCTTCAATGTAGTATCATTGGAAAATGTAGGAACTTCTAATGGCGATGGCGTAGAACAAAATATAGAAACCATTGCACCTGCATGTATATCTCCAAAGATGGAATCCAGTATTCAGAATTATAGGACCCCAAAAAGGTTTTCATTTTGAAAGTAAAGAAAACATCAGAAGACGTAAGTAAAATGAATAATGTGGAATTTAGACTTGGGTTCACCGGAACGTCCCGATCCTTCACCTAGAGACACCGGATACGATCCACCACCTCCCGAAAAGGAAAAAGGAGAAGGAGAAACAAAAAAAGGTGGAATGAAATACTAGAAAAATAGCAATTTTTGATAAACGCCATATTCCAAAGATGACAACACCATACACGGTGCGTAAAACGTTATCTTGTATTAATACAATTGTCCCCTGTTCAACGACTTTTCCTGTCGAGTTTCCCCATGCCAGATAAAGAAAGAACAAGAATCGAGGTCAAGAAGAAAGACAAATGCTACCTCCACAGCCTACTATTAACTATCAGCTGTTTGCTTACGTATATCTGCTTCACATGCATCTGTGTACACACACGTAAGTTGTGTAAAATGTGGAAACGTTTCCGCACACCGTGCCTGCTGCTGCGCTAATGCTCGGGTACCTTCTTTTACGTGTACAATAGCACACATTAACATTGTTGCATTATTGTAGGCGTGTGTGGCTCTGAGTGCCGTTGTTGTTATGAAATGTGAGAGCGGCAGAGCATAAGAATAACAATAATCAAGGCATTTTATGACGACGGTAGAGCAACCAGGGCAGTGAACGCGAAGGTCCACATCGCCGTCGCGAGTAGTGACACGCTGCGTTGCGTTGCGTTGCGTTGCACCGTCGATTCTGTTTTGTTTGTTTCCTTGACAAGGCGAAAGTTTGCGCCAGTTTTCCTTTTTTTCCATTCGAGTAACTCGCAGCACCTAACAGATTATTATTATTATTCTCTACTGTTGTTATTATAATTATTCTTAACGGGAAGTCTCGGTTTCTCTCCGTGAACTAATCGAACCAACCAAGCAACGATTAGAACGCTCGTTAACTTTCCATTTCGATAGCCACCAATCTGTGTATCTATTGCACATCAAACAATCAATTTTTGTAACCGACCAAGAACAGCTGAGTTGCACTACAATGCCAAAGAGAAAAACCGAAAAAAAATCATAGAAAGAGGTCAAATGGCTTGTCTTTGTGGATGTAGAGTGATACATAAACTTGGTATTGGGGTGCGATAACTGATGGGTCGGATTCAAAATCTCCTTCATCGCAAGGACAGAAACTTGATAGTGGTGCACCCTCTCCAGCGTTTAAGATAAACTGTCAAAAAACCTCACAAATATATGAATAATGGTTGGCATTTTTTCGTGATAGGACAATAACAACCCTTTAATAAATGTGCCCTCTTTATTATCTTTCAAATAAGCTGTTGAAAATGTACCCTTGGGATGTGTTCAAAACCATCTCCCCTTCGCTCTTCCTTGCCTATTGAGGAATGAAGAACAGTTTCGAGCTAGATCTAAAGGGAAGTCGATAATTATAACTCTTCTTAGATCTGAAACTATAACCTAAGCCAAAACGATTTCCACCTGAAGATTGCGATGTCTAAAAGAAGATTATACTACAATGTGTGCAAATTTCAGCAATTAATGTATTTTTTTAAGACACAGGCAATCCACTGCCACCTAACCAATTTTTTTTTTTCAAAATGAGAAAAGTTGATTTTCCTGACTCCTCCCAATTTTTTTGCAAAACCCACCAAATATTCACCTTTCAATCACATCTTCCAATCATGAGAATCTTTCCATGTGAATATTTTCTCGTTTAGGTTGCAGTTTGCTTGATGTGAAAGTATAACCTAACTCGCTTGCACTAACGTGTGCTTCTGATTTCAATATGTCTATAATTAGCCCCTCTCAAAATGTCCCACCACCTAAAACTTATCTCATTTTTCTTACTAACTACCCACGGAGCCCTCTGTTGTCCTACTTTTTCTAATACCTGTTCATTTCTAATCCTTTCTGTCCTAAGTATTTTCAACTCTATTATACATCACATTTCAAACTCTTCTAACTTTTTCCTTTCCGCTACGCCCATCGTACACGTTTTGTACCCGAAATCTTTTTTGAATTATCTGATTTTACCGTTTGCGAGCACTGAAGTGCTTTCTTTTTGTTAAAGGCGATTCGACCCTGCGCTATCCTTCGTTTTATCTCTATTGCTTTTTCCACCCTGTCAATAAAACCTATTAAAATAAATCACTTGTGGTACTTTTCAAAGGAACCAAGAAAATACACTCGAGCGAAAATAAGCAAGTAGAAGACAAGAGCAACTCAAAACCAAGCTAAAACACCTTCACGTAAATTACGCAGTTTTTGATATTTAGGTTTATTTAATGGCGTAAACAAATGGGAATTGCCTTTCAAATTAGTTGACTGACATGCCATAATACTTATATTATCATGCACGTGAAAAGCCGTGGGAGAAAATTGAAAAACAAGTCGATAACGTTGTGTGTTACAAAATTCGTTAATATAGGGAAATTGTAAGCGATCAATTAAACTGAGAAACAGTGGTTTCTTTTACTTAACATTTGAAAAAAAAACTCAAATGTATGTATGTATATTGCAACTATAATGAGGTCTTTTGCCTTATTTACCCCCGTAATATTTCCTGAGGTATTCTGCCACGCATCACTTAACCCTTTTACTATTTTTCAATAATTATAAGAGGTATAGTTTAATGTATGTATATGCAACCAAATATACCCGTCAAATATGCAACCAATTGTACACATGAATATACGCATTGAGGTCCACCTACCCGTTGTCCAATTGTATTTGAAATTGCTTATACTGATTAAATGAAAACATCCTGGATATCGATCTAAGGCCTACGGAACCCTTTCATCTTTTAATTAGACGTATTTTAATGGTTAGCTTGTTAACTTTAACTTTTGGGTGTTTCAATCCCAACGCGGGTGGGCGGGCAGTCTCTAGGAAGGAATGTCTTCTTCAGCTTCCTTTTAGGAATCGAGGGAATGGATGGATGAAGGTTGGGAAGAGAAATTGTAACAGTTAAGCCATACTGATATGTTCTTGTTCATGACAAAAAGTAAACACAAGAACTATATCGAAATAACAAACAATTTTAGTATAGTAATCAATAAATAATACAAATTGGGACAGACGACCTACCCCCATTACAATCTCAATGATCAATTTTCTCTAGGGAGGTTTGTTGTTACACTTATATTATTATTGTTGATGTATGTTTTTTCCTTGTTCCCCAGCAGAATTCCTCGACACTGCCGGGTCATTATCGGGTACCCGGCCGAATCCTAAAAACTGCCGGATCCGCCGGGTACCGAATCCAAACCGGGTACCCGAGTCATCTCTAATTTTTACGAAATCTCACGAATCTTTTTTACAATTTTAAACTCAAAAGTTAAATTATCGACCATTTTGTCGACGACCAACCGAGCGAGGCTACATAACGTACACATCTACATTTATGATTAAGGATACAAAATAAATGAAAAATATCAGGATTAATTCTAACTTACTCATAATTTAAAAAGCAATTTCATGCCATTGTTTTATTTTTTAAACTTTCTATCACCATATGTTATCTATTATCATGAAATTTTAAATCTACACATGTGTTGAAGTCATTGTTATTATTAAGAACAATAGAATAACTCATTTCCACAGGTGTTATCAGTGAACAAAATAAAACAAAACTCTAACTTAAATGCATATCTATATGTGATAGAATTCTATTAATGTAAGGAATAATGCAATTTCTCAAAATAGAAGTGCTTGCTGTATATTAGCAAATACCTGCACTGAATAAAATGAGTCACATTCATGTGATCTAGATCTAGATGGCAGACGGAAATTCATACGTGTTTTTCATGGAAAATTTATTGGATAATCAGATGCGCTTGCATCCTTCAATTACTAGGTATTTCGATTCAAACTAAGTAATGAGCGATGCACTTACAATTAGTTTTTCAAGCTTTCCGTCGTATAAAAAAATTATAAAAAATACTTTGAACTTTAAGAAAATATTATACTTACACAGAGTTGAATAGATAGGCCCGTCCTTGACTTCCTTGGAATGACTGTAATAAAAAAAGACAAATTAGATTGCATTTTGAACATTTTACATAACAAATGCAATTTAACTGCATTTTTTGTAAACAATTTCTCACCAGCGATAAGATAAGCAGCTAACTAAGAAAAAAAGTTACTTGTGTAGTGGAAGCGCAACTCAGTTTTGTATATTACGGGAAATAAGAAACAAGAATGAGAACCACAATAATAAGAATAAGAATATTCTATTAGATGCAATCATCAAAGGGTGGCATCATATTTTGAGAAATACGACGTATATAGGAAAACTCGTACAAATACTTTCAGCCGTCATGCTATATAAATAAGAAGTAATGTAAGTCTAACTACTTGCCGGAAGTTTCCGGAAATAATCAAGAATATTTTATGTATCCAACGAATAATATTTGATACTATAAGAAAGTTGATACAGTAAGCGAACGAGAAAGTTAAGCATAAAAAATATAAGAACATTAAAAGTGTTCTTCGTCAGATCGCGGTTTCTAACTTAATAGTTCTCATCAGCACGTCGCAGGTAGTTTCCTCGTAAAAGGAAGATGATTTTTCTTGCAAATTGTAGTTTTTCAAATGTTTCTTTAAGACCTAATAACTCGATAAAATACTGTTTCTTGTTCCCAAAACGAATATAAGCTGTGTTATGAAATGAGTTAGACAAACATTAGATACCTTTTTAGGCCCTTGTCAAACATTTGAAATTTATACTATAGTTAGCAGCAAATATCAGTAGATGGCGATATACTGCCCGCAACTCGATATTTGGGAAACTTGCAATAATTTGCATCGTTCTGCATAAAATGAAAATAAACTGTGTGGGCTTGCAGCTCGATAAGGAAAGTAGAAAGGCAGAAAAGGAAATTGAACTCAGGCAGACCGCCAGGGCACATTCGAACATATTTGAATACGTAACAATTGTGCTGATTGTAACGATTCTGTGTTTGAGGTTAAGTTAGGTTAATACATTCGTACGAGCCTATATCGTTTGATTTAAATTTCGACCGCACATGCGAACTTGGTTTAAATAAATAGACATGCTACTGTGTGCGTAAAATCCGACAAATGGTTATTATCAAATGGAACGAGGCAACGGCTTTTTTTTTTCACGAAAACCGTTTAAGTTACTAATCATCTTCCTTTTTAAGTCGATTAAAAATAGAACGCAAGAAACTAGCATTCCTAAAAGAGATTTAAATAGGATAAAATATTAAAAATTACGACTTGAGTAGGCAGAGATAATAATGTATTAGACACATCTTTTGAAGTCTGCCAAAACGACCCAAAGACTGAGAAAATTCTTAGTAACTACTTATTGGCGATTAATTTAGAAACAAGAGGGAGATAAAAGAGAAACTTACTTAATTTATAATTACTTTTACTGTTTAATGTGATTCGTTTAATGTAGTCCTTTCAACATTGTATCTATTATAATTACAAACCATCTTCTATGACAAAAATTCTCCAATTTGCTTAAAAATCTTTAAGAGGAATTTTGAAATTACAATGTATGACTTCCAGGTGCGCCAGAAGTATTCGAAGTGCTATGTCCCAAAGGTTAGAAATGCCATGCACTGTGGGTTGAAGTTTGAGTATGGTGAGAGAGAGAGAGATTGGCATATGTGCGTTTGTTATGGTGGGAATGGTTTCCTTGATTGGTATGTCTGAAGTGTCGTTTACATGGTTTAGGTAAGATCATAATGAAAGGATTGATTTACTGATTGGCATATGTAAAGTTATGTTATGGTGGGAAAGGATTTTCTGAGTTGTATATGAAAATGCTAAACACTAAGGGTTCAGGTTAGATTGTGGATTTCCTAGGTGACATATGTAAAGTTCTATGCACCAAGGGTTCAGGCTAAGCATTGGTGGGAACGTGCTATACAAGAAGGAACGGTTCAGACTAGGTTATGATAGGAAATGTTTCCTAGATTTATATGTGTGTTGTGCATCATAGGCTTCGATTAGGTTATGGTGAAAGAGGATTTCCTGATTGGATTATGATAACTACTATGCAGAATGGCTAAAATATAATTCCTATAAAAATCGACAACGGTCCCCCTTACCCATACAGGGTTTTCAAACTGGCCCAAAATCGGGCCATCAATAGGTGCCGATTTGAAATAATTGACTGTCAATTGGCAACCAAATAAGGCCCATTAATAGTTTAGAGTCGAATGATAATGCTGATGATCGGTTCTGTTATAAACTCCAGCAAACCTGTATGGGTAGTTCAAATATGGACGACTTCAACTGTAGGTAGAATCATCTTTTTGTCTCCTGTTTACATGTACGCTGGGCCCTTCAAGTAAGGTATTTTATGAGTTTAAATACCACTTTTGTCTCTGGGTCAATAATTTACATATTATAGGTGGATTTCAAATCGATGGTACTTGACAGATGTACAAGCGGACGAACAGCGTTGTTGTAACATTAGGATTGTGTTGGTGGGTACGGAACCCAAAAAGGGGACTAACAGACTCAAAAACTACAACGATTTTCTTTTAAGATTTAATCAATAACATTTTAATTGTACTGTTCAGGGTCACCTAAAAGCCTATACATTTCTTTTTAGAAGTGAGTTAGTTTAATATGAAATATTATACTGAAAATTTAATTTCTGAATTTTTTACCCACTACACGCTACCTCAAATTAATGAGGGAAAATTGTTGCTGTTGTCACATCCCCGCCGGGAATCGAACCCGGGACCTTTGGCTTTACGCACCAATGTTCTCACCACTAAACTACGAGAGGTGACAACAGCAACCACGTTCATCCACAGTCATCCACAGTAATCATTAATTTGAGGTAGCGTGTAGTGGGTAAAAAATTCAGAAATTGAATTTTCAGTATAATATTTCATATTAGCCTATAGATTAGTGCATGTTCTGCCTATTTGATGATCTAGCATCGATCACACAGAATTTTTGTTTGTTTGTTTTGAGCTTTACGAGCATTTTCAGTATCGTTTGCCCGTCGAACAATTCCACGGAAATCGATTGCTAAAAAATAAAAGCTGGAAATATGTAGTTAGTTGCATGTATTTAATTTCAAATGGAACGTTTTTGCTGACCTGATTTGCGCAAAAACCTGATGTCGACCGGTATTCTGAATCGACTGGAACTGTGTGGCGAAACGTGAGACACTAATGAATTGACACGTGATGTATATTTATGAGAGTGGAGAATTGGACTACGTTCATATATAATTAAACGCGAAGTTGAAATCTTAAATTGCAAAAAGCAATGATAATAATTCTGCTTACGCCAGGAAACAGGCTTACACAGTAATCAGCAGGATTGTGTCATGGATTTTGCATGATTCCACGGCGGATACAAGTCGGACGTGACCAACCGACGGGGTTTTCATTCGATAATTACCAAGATTTACGTTATACATATATTTTAAGCAATGATAATAATTTATCATAAGACAGATTGATGCACTTTGTGAAGAAGCATGGCGACAAAAAAAGAGTTTGCCTTGAGTATCGGAATTACTTGCCTTGAGAAAACAGGAACTGTTATACTATTAGGTATACGTAGAAATGATCTTGCACTGGATTAATTAACAAATTAACGTGGCAAGTACAAAAAAAAGTATTAATTATACGTTATACGCAGAGGAGTTTGCGTATGGTAAACATCGCTCCAAAAGTGGACGTTGTATAAAAGTTTTTATATGGTTGGGACGATCAAAATTGGCAAAGTCCGCTATAATTATCTGTGAGAATGGACGAGTTTTCTTTCTTGTTTCCATTTGGGACTGTAATCATTAGCTGCGTTTTGAACACACTCTTGTTAAGTTAGGGAATACTTCATGAGTAGTACAGACAAATTGAAAAGAGATAACCGAATAATAGTCAGCGGTTCAGCGGTTAAGCACGTAAAAAGTCAGGATAGGTTTTATAAATGCCTGGTTGGAATTATATCTTTAAACAATCGTCTTTGCTTTCCTAAATTCCTGAAAAGTTCAATGCTGGCGATATGCTCAAATTCTGCTAGTCTATTCCTTTTTCTTTATTAGTGTCCGCTGCAAATCCTACCTGGCATCTCTTTTCTATGTTTACGATATTCCCTATAACGTCTGTCGTGTATAAAGTTAGACATTCTGTTAGTCCAGTTAGTATGTTGAAAGAAGAAAGTAAATGCGAAAGTTTTATTATGGACTATACCAAGTTTAAACGTACCAACAATAGTTAGCTTTAGTTTATTTAATCATGTTATCGTAGGGGTATCATCCACACTAGAGTGCTTCAAACAAAATTTTTAATTTTTTTTTTTTCTAACTCTTACCCCCTCAAATTTTTCTATTTGATGTAAAAAAAATCCTCGCCAAACATGAGCCCTACAGCTCAAATCTAAGGGGTCGCTATTTTTATTTTAGTTTCCCATTTAATTAACATAGGAAAAATTCTTTTTTGTTTTAAATTGAATTTACACATAATTTACGCAATTTTTTCCAAAAA